AATTATATTTTCCTCTCTCTCTCTCTCTCTCTCTCTCTCTCTCTCTCTCTCTTTCTCTCTCCATCTTTTTTTTTTTTTATAAATTAAAAAAAAAAAAGAGGAAATAATTGGTGAACCATATAATGAATAAGAAAAAGAAGAGGGCAAAAATCGTTTGAGAGAGCGAAAAAAAAAAATGAAAATTTTCTCTCTCTCTTTCTTTTGTTCCTTTGTTTTCCTCCCCCCATCCCCGTCCCCCACTTTCTCTCTTTTTTTTTTTTTGTTTTTTTCCATTCCACTTTTCACCGCCTTTGAAATTCAAGAAGTTTTTTTTTTTTTTTTTTGAATTTATAAATAAAAAAAAAAAGGTTTTCTTTGTCTTTTCGCGCGACTTGTACTTGTTATATTAAAATTCAACGGGGGAGGGAAGGAGGGGAAAGGAGAGAGAGAGAGAGAGAGAGAGAGAGAGAGGAAAAAAAAGTGTTTAAAAAACTTTTTTTTTTAAAAAAATAATTCTTATTATAATCGTATTGTTTTTTTTTCCTCCCCGTACTGTAACGAGAAAAACAAAAAAGTTTTCTTTTTTAACTGATTTAATATCGGTTTAAGTAAAAAAAAAAAATTAATAAAATTTTTTTTTTTTAACCAACTTTGGTTAAATAAAATACTTTTTAAATTGTTTGGGAACGTTTTTTTTAATAAGCTTAAAAATTTTGTTGTTGTTGTTGTGATTACAACAAACCTAAGAATTAAGGTATTTAAAAAAGAAAGAAAATGTAAAAAATTGTTATTATTATTATTATTATTATTAATTTTTAAAGTTAATAACATGATAAATTTTTTAACGAATATATATGTAATTAATTATAACAAATTTTTTTTGCTTTTGAAAAAAATTGAAAAACGAATCGAAGGCATTTTGTCGCGATATCTAAAAAAAAGGGAAATTTTAACCTTTTAAACAAGCCTTGTTAAAACCGAGGGAAAGAGTGAGAGAGAGAGAAAAAATATAAATTTATTTTAAAAACGTTAAACTTTTAACAAAATCAACAAAAAAAAAAAAACAAAAAACAAAAATTTATCAAATTTTAACAAAAAGTTACCAAAAAAAAAAAAAAAATGACAAAAAAATAAGAAAAAAAAAAAAAAAAAACAAAAAATTAATTAAATTTGTTGTTGTTTTTTTCTCCAACTCACGCATGTCAGAAACCAAAAACAAAAGTGCCAACTAACAAAAAAAAAAAGGGCAAACAACAAAAAATAACAAAAAATAATTTTTTTTTTTTCTAAAAATTGTTTTTTCGATGGTTTTATTTTTCTCCCCAAAAAAAAAACTATTTCGTTGTTAAAAGTATTATTTATAAAAAAAAAATTGATAATAATAATAATAATAATAATAATAATAATAATAATAATAATAATAAATTAAAATAAATTTTTAAAACTTTTTTCTTTCTTTTACGCTACGTTAAAACTCAACACCATTTTTTTAAAATTATTTTGAGTCGGATTAGGTAAACATAACTAAAAGTAGGATCGATTGTGAATTTTTTTTGAAAAATTTTTTTCCCGCGCAAATTTAAATTTAAAAATCTCAACTGAAAAAAAATAATAATTTATTTCGAAGTTTACGTGGCATTAGGGGAAAATTATTATTACACGTCAATATTAAATATAATCATCAAGTGATAGAAATAATTTATCGGGTGATAAAATATACGTGTAGGGGGGGCGTTGACCTTTCAGTGATAAATAACGGAATCATTTTTCAATTACGTTAAAAATAATATAAGGCATGGTGGGAGGAGAGAAAGGGAGGAGGAAAAGAGGGGAGGGAGAAAGAAAATTTTCTTTCGGTTTTTTTTTTTTTTTTGTTTTCAATTTAAATTTACACCTTTTTCTTATATACATACATCTTCTGCTTTCTTTTAAAAAATAAATAAATAAATTAGACTTGCAAATAAATAAAAATAAATTTTTAATCGAAACTTATTACGATAAATGAAAATTTATGGTTTGGTGACTACTCGCAAAGAAAATAAAAAGTGAAAATGAAATAAGGGAAAAGAAAAAGGGAAAAGAAAGAGAGAGAGTGAGAGGGAAAATGAGGGAGAAAATTAAAATATTCTAAAACATAGAAAAGGGTTTTTCTCAGTTTAAAATCAGATTTGTTAAGTGAAGGACACATCTGACATCTTTCTACGAATTTTCATTTTTCGAATTCCTTTAAAACATGGTCTGACATATTGTCACTGATATCCATATTAATGACGGAAATGAGTCGTGAGAGTGATTCGACTTTTCAACCTTTTCATTTGTTTTTTTCTCTCTCTCTCTCTTTCCTCCCTACCCTTCCCCTCTCTCACCCTTACGTAATAATTAAGGTCGCGTATTTTTACGTTTATTAATTTACTCTTGTTAATTATAATAATTTTACGATGAGAATCAATCAAAACGACGATTAATAATAATTTTTTTTTATGTTTATTTGTAAGAAAAAACAATGTTGCCAACAACGAAAAAAAAAAATTCATTTAAAAAAAATATGGTGACAAACTAATAAATAAAAGTTTAATTGTTGAAATTCTTTTTTTTTTTTTTTATTTCCATGAATAATTCTTATGTAAATCGAACATTGGAAACTTAATATAAATTCCAGACACGTAGGTAAATTTTCTTTTAATTTTTTTTTTCTTTCCTTTCTTCTTCTTTTTTTTTTTTTCTCTCCCCCCTTCCAGCAATTACATTTTAAATAAATTTAAAAAAAAAAAAAAGAAGAGGGAAGAAAGAGAGAGAGTGAGAGTGAGAGAAAAAAAAGAAAAACAAACAGAAAAAAAAAATAAAATAAAATAAATTAAATTTTTTTTTTATTCAAAGTTTACTTTTCTCTCTCTCTCTCAAATTCTTTAAATTTAATTTTAATTCTTTATCATTATTATTATTATTATTAAAAAGTAAATCTAACCTCGAATTCATTTTTTTTTTTTTTTAATTTAAATTTAATTAACGAGAAATTATTATTTAAAGTGCGAAAATTTAAAAAAATAAAAAGCGCGCGAAATTTTTTTTTTATTTTTTAAAAATTTATTTTAATTGTTAATAATGCTTTTAAATAATATTTTTATCGTTTTTCTAGTTAATTAATAATAATAATAATCGAAATTACAAATAATTATTGTTATTGTCTGTTTGTTTGTTGTTTGTTGTTGCTGTTAAAGAGAATAAATAAATGCGTAGGAATTATAATCGATTTGTTGCGGTTAAACGTCAACCATTATATATATACGGCCCATATATAATTGTAGTAAAACTTTAAAATTTTATTAGAAAACTTTTTTTTTTTTTTGTTATTTCTCTCCCGCGTTTGTTCATTATGATTGATTTATTTTATTATTATTAATTTTTTTTTTACAAGCTATTATTATTATTATTTGATAGTAGGAAAAAACCGCCATTTTATGTGTCGCCATTTTTCTTTTGAAACTTCAAATTTTTTAAATTTAAATTTTTAAATGACGAATCATTCATTGGTTAGTTGGTTGGTCGGAAGTTGGATAAATTCAATTATAAAAATCTTATCGTGATGGAAAAATTATTATTATTATTATTATTATTAATATGGAAAATTTAAAATGATTTCTACTGCTTTTATAAATTTCGTTTTTGCCATCTGCTTATCGTTATTATTATTATTTAAAATTTTTTTTGTTTTTATGATAAAAGCACTCTCTCAAACGTATTTTTTTTTAAAACAAAATCGTTTGTTTGTTTGTTTGTTTGTTTAGTCAATCATTATTATAAAAATTTAATGATTTGTTAATTAATTTCGTCAATTTATACTAAAATTTTTTTGTTAAAATAATAACGAAAAATGCGTCGTCGTCTGCACCCAATGTTTACGTAAAGAATAGCGTAATAAGAAAATTAATATGATAAATATAGAAAAGAATTTTAAAAGAAGAAAATGGCGTCAAAAGATTTATTTATTTAAATAAAATAAACAAAAGATATTTACCGCGTTTTTACCTCGTTCAGTATAAGAAAAAAAATATTAATGTAATTTAATAATAATGATAATAACAAAAAAAAAATAATAAATCGAAAATTGATACCTAAAAAAAACTTTCTTTTTTTTTTTTAATTAATTAATAATAAAATTATTGATTTTTTTTTTTTTTATTAAAAATTCGAGATAAAAAATTTTTTTTCAATTAAGTGGCATGAAGAGAGGTAATTAGTCGTCTTCTGCTCAACCCCCTCCCACCGACAACTTTTCATATTTAAATCCTCATTAACTAACTAACTTTTCTTTATTTTTCTAAAAAAAAATTAAAAAATATTTTTTCTCCCCTTAATTATTATTATTATTAAACACCGTTTAAAATGTTTACTTAAAAAAAAAAAAAAAATTTCTCAATTTATGTTGTAAAACCAATTAACTAAAAAAATAAATAAATACATCAAAACTATTAATTTGTTTATGTTTTTTTGGTTAATAATGTTAAAAAAAAGTTTTATTACGTCATTACGCATACCCTACGTACGTTCTCGAAATTGTTGTTAAATTAATTTTAAAAAAAAAACGCCGCCAACTTTTAAAAAAAAAAAATTCCATAGAGTAATAAAAATAAAAACAATCGAATCTTTTGTATACAAACACAAAAGTTGCATTTTTTTTTTTTTTTAAATTATTTATTATTGTCCCTTTTATTTTTTTTTTTTTGCTGTCGGCGATTAGTTTATCCGTTTAAAAAAAAAACAAACAAATCGGGAAAAAAGAAAGAGAGAAAGAGAGGGGGAGAGAGAGAAAAAAAAACATAAATTTAAATATGTTCTATGTCGGGGTGGGAGAGAATTTTTAAAGAGTGTAAAAATTACAAGTTAATTATAAACATATTGCAATCGTTTTCTAAACAAAATCATCACATCAACGATGGAAATCATTTATTTAAAAAAAATCAAAGAACGCTCGAAAAATATATTAAAAAAAAAACACGTGAACTTTTATCCTTTGGATTATTATGGTGTTTAAAAAGGAATAATAATAATAATAATAATAATAGCTATAATAAGTATTATGTTACAGGTAAACAAAAAAATTTAAATAAAAAAAAATTTTTAACCTGCGATGTTCGGTGTCCTTTATTAACGTCATTACAATTGATAATTGATAACGACGTGAAATTTTCTTATCACATAAGAACAATAAAAACAGTGAAACACATAGAAACGGTGAGAAAAACATTCAACGAATTATTACAAAGCTTGAAAGGTTTTTTAAGTATACAAAAAAAACAATCCAACGATCCTTTGACGTTGGACGTTGAAAATTATTTGAAATCCCAAAATTCAAATGATACGAAGAAACAAAGCGAAAATGATAAGATAAAAATTGCTTTTGCCGAAGGTTACCTCTCCGGAACTCGTAACGTGACCGGAAGTCAAACACCAAAATGGATGAAAATTGTACAACCCATTCTCACGGCACTCATTGTTATAGGTTTGTGTTTAGCATTTTTGGCATCAACGAACGGTTCCATGTTTAGAATGCAAATAGGAAAACAAGTTGAAATTGATCCGGTTGAAATAAATGTCACATTTGAAGATGTTAAAGGAGTTGATGAAGCCAAACAAGAATTGAAAGAAGTCGTTGAATTTTTAAAAAATCCTAATAAATTTTCTGCGTTGGGTGGAAAATTACCGAAGGGAGTTTTACTGGTTGGTCCTCCGGGTACTGGAAAAACTTTACTGGCAAGAGCGGTCGCCGGTGAAGCGAGAGTTCCTTTCTTTCACGCAGCCGGTCCTGAGTTTGATGAGATATTAGTAGGTCAGGGAGCAAGGAGAGTTAGAGATTTATTTAAAGTTGCCAAAGAAACAGCTCCCTGTGTTATATTCATTGATGAAATTGATTCGGTAGGTTCGAAAAGGACCAATAGCGTGTTACACCCTTACGCGAATCAAACGATTAATCAGTTACTATCGGAAATGGATGGATTTCATCAAAACGAAGGCGTGATTGTTCTCGGTGCAACAAATAGAAGAGAAGATTTAGATAAAGCACTTTTGCGACCGGGAAGATTTGACGTAGAAGTGACCGTACCTACACCCGATTATCACGGTCGTAAACAAATATTCGAACTTTACTTAGGTAAAATATTATGCAAGGAGGTAAACGTTGATCTTTTAGCGAGAGGAACCGTTGGATTTACCGGTGCCGACATTGAAAATATGGTAAATCAAGCTGCTTTGAAAGCGGCCGTTGACGGTGCCGAATGCGTCACGATGACGTATTTAGAAAATGCAAAAGATAAAGTTTTAATGGGTCCAGAAAGAAAAACGAGAATACCGGACGAAGAAGCGAATTTAATAACTGCGTACCACGAAGGTGGACACACAATTGTCGGATATTACACGAAAGACGCACATCCTTTACACAAAGTAACAATTATGCCGAGAGGACCTTCGCTCGGTCACACGGCTTACATACCCGAAAAAGAACGTTATCACGTAACCAAAGCTCAACTTTTAGCCATAATGGACACGATGATGGGCGGAAGAGCAGCGGAAGAACTCATATTCGGACCGGAAAAAATAACTTCGGGCTCATCAAACGATTTAAAACAAGCTACCGTCATAGCGACTCACATGGTTAAAGACTGGGGTATGTCTGAAAAAATAGGTTTGAGAACATTAGACGAAAATGTCAAATCGATAGTTACCGTTAATGAATTGGGACAATCTTTGAACGAAGCCATTGATTCGGAAATAAAAAGAATTTTACAAGAATCATACGAAAGAGCGAAAAATCTATTGAAAGCACATTCGAAAGAACACAAATTATTAGCCGAAGCTCTTGTCAGGTACGAAACATTGGATGCCGAAGATATAAAAGCAATATTAAAAACTAAAAAAGATGAAGATAATAATGATATTCCAATTAATTTAGATGAATGGTAGTAATCATTTTTTTTTTAATTATTGTTATTAAATTTATTTTTTATATAAAAAAAAAATTTTATCAATAAAAAAAAATTTACCAAAAAATATTCACGTGTTATTATTATTTAATTATTTTTTATAAAACCGGAAATCATTTTTTTTGTGATTTTAATAAGTGATAATAATAATACTCCGATTTAATTCGACGGTAGAATTAAAAAAAAAAAATTTTTTAATTTCCCGCTGAAATTTTTGTTTTGTTGTTGTTGTTGAATTTAAAAAAGGGAAAAAAAAGGCGGGAAATTTTAATACGTTTTGTCAACAATTTTCCCTTCTTTATTTTCGTCATAGAACAAATGATATTATCACCAACCATTAGGGTTAAAAATGATTAAAAAATATAAACAATGTAGAGTTAACATATTTTGGTGTAAATTAAAACAAAAAATTATCGGTGATGTTTAGAAATGTTGGCCTTAAAAAATATTATAAAGAAATTATCCGTGTTAATTATAGATTATTAAATGAAAACAGTCAAAAATTAATAAATAAACAATGTTTCGAATACGCACAAGTACAAAACAATGTTAACTTAATACCCCAAATCGTTAATAATAATCATGATGATGATGGAAATATATTAAAATTTTATACCAATAATAAAACAAAACAAGAGAATCATTTTAAAAAATTTCATCATCATCCGCCGCCATTAACTTCAATCATACATAATAAAAATTTCCTTGAGGTTAGAAAACCTTTGACCTGCGTCAAATATTACACAACAGAAAATAAATTGACAGCAAATAAAGATCCTAAAAAGAATAAATTATTACCATGGCTCTTATCATTATTTAAATATAAAAATAAAACAAAAATTAATTTGGTAAAAGAACCGAAAAAAATTGATAAAAATGAAATTTTTGAAAATGCATCGTCCAAAGAAGAATCAGAAAAAATCAAAATGGCTTTCACCGATGGATACATGGCAGCCTCCAGACAAATCCTCGAACCCAAACCCACATCGAAATTCATGAAAGTTTTCACACCGATATTGACAATATTTTTCATAAGTGGTTTTTTAATTTGTTTAATTATAATTGTAAGTGGATCCGTGTTCAGGACACAAATGAGTAAATATTTGGAAGTTAATCCTGAAGAGATACACGTGACTTTTAGAGATGTTAAAGGAGCAGAAGAAGCAAAACAAGAATTAAAAGAAATCGTTGCTTTTTTAAGAAATCCCGAAAAATTTTCAATATTGGGTGGTAAATTACCAAAGGGTGTTTTGCTAGTCGGACCTCCGGGCACTGGAAAAACTTTACTCGCTCGTGCCGTGGCAGGAGAAGCAAAAGTTCCATTTTTTCACGCTGCCGGACCCGAATTCGATGAGGTTTTAGTCGGTCAGGGAGCGAGGAGAGTGAGAGATTTGTTCAAAGCTGCCAAAGAAGTAGCTCCATGTGTTATTTTCATCGACGAAATCGATTCAGTAGGTTCGAAAAGAACAAACAGCACCCTTCATCCATATGCCAATCAAACAATTAATCAACTACTTTCGGAAATGGATGGATTTCATCAGAACGAAGGAGTCATTGTTCTCGGTGCTACAAATCGTCGAAACGATTTGGATAAAGCTTTGCTAAGACCGGGTAGATTTGACGTCGAAGTTATGGTACCCATACCGGATTATACGGAAAGAAAAGAAATAATTGAATATTATTTAAGCAAAATACTTTATAAAGATATTAATTTAGAATTACTCGCTAGAGGCACGGTGGGATTCACGGGTGCCGATTTAGAAAACATGGTTAATCAAGCTGCTTTAAGAGCTGCCATCGAAGGTGCCGATAGCGTGACTATGGCTTATTTAGAAAGTGCAAAAGATAAAATACTTATGGGTCCGGAGAGAAAATCAAGAATGCCCGATTCCGAAACGAATTTAATAACGGCATATCACGAAAGCGGTCACACGATTGTTTGCTACTACACGAAAGATTCTAAACCTATACACAAAGTGACGATACTACCCAGAGGAAGATCCTTAGGACACACCGCATACATTCCAGAAAAAGAACAATATCTTGTTAAAAAATCCGAACTGTTAGCAACTATGGACACACTCATGGGTGGTAGAGCCGCAGAAGAAATAATATTCGGACCGGATAAGATAACAACGGGAGCATCAAACGATTTAAAAGAAGCAACGTCCATAGCTACTCACATGGTTAAAGAATGGGGTATGTCAGAATCCGTAGGTTTGAGAACGGTTGAGGAAAATCAAAGGTCATCAGAAGCCATTGATGCAGAAATAAGTTGGCTCCTACAAGAATCTTATAAAAGAGCTAAAACGATAATAAAAAATTATTCAAGAGAATTAAAATTGTTAGTTGAAGCTCTTTTAAAATATGAAACGTTGGACGCGGATGACGTAAAAGCCATTTTGATGGAAAGGCGAAAAATTAAATTATTTTATTATTATTCAACTTTACGAAAAAAAAAAAAAATTTTTTTTTTTTTTTAACTTGAAATCTTTTCATTTCTATTTTTTCTTTTGTTTTTTATTTTTTTTATATTTATTTTATATATGTATACATATATATTTTATTTTTTTTATAAGACAATATTTATGTACATAAGTACACCCACTCGTTTTCAAAATGGTGTGTAATTGAATTATTATTCCTTCCATGATTCACAAAACAAAAAAAAAATTTGTTTTCTTTTTTTTTTTAGACACAAAACTGTCTTTCCGCCCATTCAATGTTTACATTTAACTAAATATTAACTCTGATGTTTTTTTTTTTTTTTTAATTTTATTTTTTCTTATTTCTTTCAACAACAACAACCGACAAACGACCCGACAAACAACCCGAGAAACAAAAAAGAAACATCAAATATGTCACCGACCGCCGTAATTCGGTGTTTAATAATTAAATTTTTTTATTTAAACTTAATTTTCGATTAATATTTATCATTATTATTATTATTATTATTATTAATGTAAATTTTATTTATAATTAAAATCGAAACTTTTATTTATTACGCTAGGTTATTAAAACATAAAATTAATAAATAAAATATTAATAATAATAACTACTATTACTATTTTGTGCTATCATTTATATTTGCGGTTTTTTAATAAATAGTTATATTAAAATTTAAATCATTTATTTATTAATTTATTAATTAATTTATTATTATTATAATTATTATTATTAATACGTTCGATCATCATGACAAATTAAAAATGAAGTAGTAATAATAATAATAATCGACGAGTGGGGAGGGGGGAAAGAAAATTATCGGAAAATAATATAATTATTTTTTTATAAAAAAAAAGTTTTTTTTTTGTGTTTGTTTGTTTGTTTGTTTGTTTGTTTTTGTTTGAGATAAAACTGTTTTGTAAAAATACATATATTTATTTATGAAAAAAAAAAAGTTTCGAAACATTAATCATAAAATTTTGAAACATATAAAATTTCATTGTCATCAATCAAGTCAATGAAAAATCCCAAAAAAAAAAAAAAAAAATTTTCTTGTAAACAATTTTCAAAAAGAAAAACCGGAAGTTGAAGACTTTAAAAACACGTGACAAAATTTATAAAATAAGTAAGTTTTACGAATACATAATAATTCAACAAAATTAAAATTTTTTAATAAAAACGTTTATAATACTGGAACAAATTGTAATAACGTAAAAATATTATTATTATTAGTATTAAATATTGAAACCTCACGCTCAAAAAATTTTTTAATAATAATAATAATTTTTTTGACTTTTAATTATTAAAGATGAAAATTTATGTAAGTTATGTATGTATGTATATAAGAGATAAGTTTTTTAAAAACTTGAGATAACAACAAAAGTAAACGCCTAACGGATTATGTTGCAACAAACTAAACATTTTCTAATATTTTAAGATTAATAATAATAATAATAATAATATATATTATTTCCCTTTGACAAACCAGTGAAAAGATTTATTTTATACCGAGAGAAAATAACACCTTTTCTCATAGTCCTTTTGAACTAAAAAACTAGATTTTGATGATGATGATGATAATGATGATAATAATAATAAAATCGAAAACTTTCCTCCAGAAGGTTTAAATGGTGTGATGATATTGGAGAAAAAACTTTTCTTTTTTTGCAAACGTTTTTGGTTAACGTTCTTGATTTCATTGAAAATATTAATTTTTGCCATAAAAAAAAAAAAAATTTTTCTTGTCGTCATTGAATATGGTAAATAAAGGTCAAGGTCGAAGAGTAAAATGGCAACATTGTTAAAAAGAAAAAATTTATTTATTTATTTATTTATTTTTTTTTTTGGGAGATTGAAACTCGATCAAAAAAATAAAAAGAATTTTTTGAAATAAAATTTTAGGAGGGAGGAGGGGGACGTTTGTTTTCGTAGAAAAATATTTTAAATTTTCTTATTATCAATGAGATCGTTGTCCTCTTATCAAACGTTTTAAATTAAACCCCCCTCCCGTTTTTATACAAAAGAAAATTTTTAAGAAGAAAAAAGAAAAATGATGTAAAGGCGAAAACAGAAACATTTTTTTGTTTTTCCAACGATTTAACTGATTTTTTTCATCCCTTAGTTAATAGAAGAGAAGAAAAAAACGAATAAGAGGGTGGATTCCAAACAAGGGTTTTTTTTCCAGGCAATTTTTCATTATTTAAATACGTGCGGTATACTATCTACCCTACGAAATTTTTTTCTTTTTTTTTTTCATTCTTTCCTCTTTTTACACGTCATTCTTTTAAACATGTCAGATATCAAAGATTTTTCACAAAGGTAGATAATCATCATCATCATCATTATTATCATTATCATCATTCATTTAAGAAAACTTTCTAATAAAGAGTCAAAAGATTCGTGTAATTTGACTTTAAAACAAAACAATGCTATTTATCTTTTATATATTTTTTACTTTTTTATTTATATAAACTTTTTCTCTGTCTCTCTTTGTCTCTCTTTCTCTCTCTCTTCTTTATTATTTTCTTTAAAAAATTATTTAAAAAATGAAAAATTATGAAAATAAGTAAATAAATTGTTTTTTTGTTTTCGTTTGAAAAGGTTTTTATTTTAAGTTTTAATTTTTTTTTAGCAAACTCACAATTGTGGTCAGGTAAAAACCAAGTAAACGTTAATTAATATGTCTTCTGCTTTAATGAGAAAAAAAAAAAAAAAAAAGCTGCTCGTGTGGAAATATTTTATTTAATATTATATATATATAAAATAATGTAAATGTTTCGTTATAAAATATAAAAGTAAAAGGTTTACATAAAAAATTTCATTTTCGACGTAATTATACGGTTAATATTACAACCGAGTTAACAAACCGGAAACTAAATAAAAAAAAAAATTTTTTTTTTTTGTTTTAACGGTTTTTTTTCCTCGTCGTCGATTCGACTCGCGGATTTGATGCGTGAATAATTTTTTTTTTTAAAATTAAAATAAGGTGTACCAACTTGTGAAAAAAAAAATAAAATAAGAAACATTAGCATCGTCCCTCTCCCGGAAAAAGATTAAAGTCAATCTTTATAAATCAGTGAAATATTTTCAAACCTGACGTCATTTTTCAATGTAGCTTTAACATTTTCTGACTAAAGGGATTAGACACATGTCCAAGAGATTGATGAGAAAAGGGAGAGAGAGAGAAAGAGAGAAAAAGAAAAACCCAACAGACAATCATTAGAAAAAACACTTACAAAAAAAAACAGCAACGGCAAAAAAAACGTTCGTAAACGAAAAATAACGTCCAAAAAAAAAAGGCGCTAAAAAAACAAACGAACGAACAAACAAACAAACAAACAAACAAACGAAAAAAAAGGAGAATTATTTAAACGATGTTGAACGTTTTGGAAAAAATTTATTTGGCAATAAATATTTTTTGATTAAAAAAAAAAAAACGAGACAGAGAAAGAGAGAGCGAACGTATAATAAAAAAAAAAAAAACGAAACTAAATTTATTTATTTATTTATTTATTGGTTTTTTATTTTTTTTTTAAATAATAATAATAATAATATCGTTTGTTTTATTTTATTTATTTAAATGGCATCTCATAATTTTACCATCCATTCCATTATAAAATCGAATAAAATAATTTTTTTTTTTAGTTTGATTATTCAATGAATGAATGAATGAAATATTTAAAAAATTTTATAAAAACAGCGACAACAACGACAACGACAACAACAAACAAAGAAAAAAACAATAATAATAATAATAGAATTGTTACAAAACATTTTTCAATTTGACCATTATCAAAAAAAAAAAAAAAAAAGATGGAAAAAGTTATGAAAATAAATCCATTACGTAATCGAATTTTCAAGTTTATCATCACGGTAATATTATATCACGAATTACATTTCATTACAACACTAACTACAATCGTATAAAATTACTAAAAAATATCAACAACAACAAACAACAACGACAACGACAAAAAAAAAAAAAAAGAGAAATTTTGTATTAAAACTTTTCAACAATCAATTTTAAAGTGAAAAAATATAAAAAAATAAAAACGAATTAATTTTTTTTTTTTATTCATTTCCCTCCAAAAGTTTTGAAAACTTATTTTCTTTTTCATTAAAAATATTATTACTATAAAAATTTACTTATTTTTTTCTGAAATAATAATAATAATAATAATAATGCTAAAGAAAATAAGAAAAGTGAAGAAAATGGAAGGTCGTAAGGTACGATATGCAATTTCAAATAGGAAATAAATGGCCAGTGCGAAATGGAGTGATACCTGTAAAAACCGACACAAGTATTTATGAAAACTGTACAGGTTCGTTGTCCTAAGGTCTAACAATCAACCGTGATTCTCAAAGTATAGCACACAAGATCTCAACACTAAAATATCTGTCGTGAATATAAAATGGAAAGATTAGACAAATAAGGGAGATACACGTCGTGTTCTCAGTAGGACACAAAAAGAACTCAGAAGAAGCGGGAAAAAGATTGAAATATAGAAATTTGGAACGGGAAATATCCAGGATGTGGGGAGTAATGACAAAAACAATCCTGATGATTGTGGGAGCACTGGGAGCCAGCCACAACGTTAAAAAGTAACTTATAAGAAGGTACACAAACTACAGGAAGTGAAACAAACAGCCTGTTTTCCTCCTAATCAAAAGGAATCGAATAAAAACCTGGAATTATATAATGGAAAACCTGGAATGAAATCCTGGAAAATTCTGACAAGCACTTTAAACTTCCCCCACTATTAAAATTGAAACATAATAATAATAATAATTAAAATAATTAAAAAAAAGAAAAAAAAATTAAATTTATTAATTAAATAATAAATAAAAATTTCATTAATTAATAAATTACGTTAAAATGTCAAAAAATTATCATTATTATTATTATTATCATCATTATAAATCCGTAAATTTTTATGTAATTTATAAAATGTCATAAAATAAAAAATGACTTGAAGGACGAGTTTTATTATTTCAATTTTTTTTTGGTTTCGGTCTTTTTAAATGAGTCCGACACTAATTAACAAATTTTTTTCTTTTTTTTTTTAATTGTTCAAATTAAAAATTAAAAAAACGTCGAGGGAATTTCGTATGCAACGTTGCATGTTGTAAAGCAGAAAAGGAAAAAAAATGGCGGGAAATTTGAAAATTTTTAACAACGTTCGCAACAAGGAAAAACGTATTTTAAAAAAAACTGAAAATGTAAGAAGGCGGTGGCGAGGGGGCGAAGCGGATGGAGGAGGCGGTGGGAAAGGAAAATAAAAGTCGAATAGGGGA